CGGTGGTCTCGTTGTTGGGGGCCTCATTGTGGTCTGGGCTCTCGCTGTCGAAGATGTTCTCATTGATGTCAGTTACCTCGTTGTCAGTGGTCTCAAAGTAGTCGGTGGTCTCCATGAAGTCAGAGATCTTGATATCATGAATTGTCTCATCAATGTCTGAGATGTCGCTGAAAATGTCTTCCACTGCATAATAGTCGGGGGCATCTTCCATGATCACCACCTCACATCTGTCCTTGGTTTTACTGTAGGGAAAGCTGTGGCTGAGTATGGGGTTGGTGGGAGGGGGTGTACTCATAGTACTCAAAGTTGGAAAGTAACTGGAGAAGCAGTAGGCTTTAAGGGATCCCAGGGATGGGGCTAGGGTGGATAAAGTCCCATTTCTGCCCCTGACTGTGTAACCTCAGGCCATTTCTGGGCATGATTCCCCACTTCTAAAACATATTCCACTGGGATTATCTCAAAGGTCCCTTTTGGCTCTATAAATCCTGTCTTACACTAGTCTTAGCCTCATCCCCAATAAACCCCTTCTCAGCCACCAAACCCCCATTACCGTTTCTTCATTTCTTGCCTCTTTCTCTTTGTCCTGGAGCCCCTTTCTCTCAGGTAGTAGCGTAGAGGGTTAACCCACAGATCATTCTTGATAATCTGTTGAAAAGGAGAGAAGGAATAAGAGCACCACGAGTACAAGCCCCAGATCCTACTCTTAATTCCCCACACACCCAGCCACAAGCCTAGCAAGGCCTTCTCTGGTGATGCCAGGAAGGGCCCCACCTCAGCAATCCTGTCAGCCTCTGGGAGGCTGTGGTTTGAGAACCAGCTGAAGAAGCTGTGGCTCGCATCCTGGTTCCCACGACGGCGGGCCTGGGGTTCCTGGCCCCGGTGCCAGCGAATTGGGGTTGAGTGAGACACCAGTCGGCCTAGGGAGAGAGAAGTCTATAGAGATGGGACAGAACAAGGACAGATTGGGTGGGAAGGAACATGGATTTTATGCTGGGACTGCTTCTTACCCGAGCGGTTGCGCTGGAACTCCTTGACAATCACCATGTTTGTGAAGTAGGGGTTTGTCTGGAAGTACAGCTTCATTTTGTAGCCCATGGAGATATGTCTGAGATCCTGTACCTGCTCCAGGTGGGGGTGATGGTGGAATCTGTCTCCCCCCACACACCATGGCCCTTCCCACCCACCTCCCCTCACCTCCAAGAACCAGATTCGTTGCCCGATCCTACTAAAAAATCTCTCTGGTCTGACCTGCAGATTGGTCAAGTAGCGGAAAATGTCTTCATCACGTCGGTTGATCAAAATTGAAATTCTGGGGTGGTTGAGGAACTGATGAGTGGAGCAGTTTAGGTCAAGGATTGACTATCCAGTGAAAGGGAGGGAGGAAAGGCCAGGGAGGGCACAGTAAGAGAGGCTGGAGTAGGATTCCTTCTATGTTCATGTGGTTTGTATGAAACAGGTGAGTCATGGGACATAACTCATACTTAATCCCATGATAAACCTCTGTTATGTGGCCCAGCAGGATGCTGAGAGTCTGTGTCCATGTGGTATATGTCACTGGGTGCTGAAGGCCCATGTCCAAGTGATGCTGTATCTGCTTTCTGAGGGCCTGTGGTCACATGATGTTTTATGTATGGGTGTTGAAGGTCCATGTCCACACGTGTAAATGGCTCTGATGGCTTGTGGTCAAGCGATGCCCTGTGTCTACATGCTGAGGACCTATGGTCATATTATACTGTGTCTAGGAGCTAAGATCCTATGTCTAGATGATATCGTATGCCTGGGTGCTTAGGGCCTCTATGTGCTGTTTTGTATGAGGGTACTAAGAGTCTGTATCCACATAATTCTATTAAGATGTTAAACTCATGTTCTTACCATGTTACACGTATATATATGTATCCCCCATCTACTACTCTTGCCTTTCCTTCATTTAACTCCTTTTCATCCATGCCTAGACACTCCCTCTCCTGACCCTTCAGGGGCTCCAGCCCCTCTCTAGCCCCTTGCCCTCCAATGAAAGGCTCTCTAGCCAGGATTGGGGTCTCTTAGTATCCTAAGCAAAGATCTAGGTTGAGAGAGCCTCGTATGGCTCAGGCACCCTTTCTAGGCAGTTACTCTGCTGTGTGCCTTTCCCCTCCCCCTCTTCAAGGTCTCCGAGTCAGTTCATCTTTTACGTGACCCTCCCCTACTCCTTTCACCATCTCTGGTCCAATTTTTCTGCTATGTATCCCTTTACTACCCCCTCTTTTATCATCTGTGATCCTTTTTTAATGCTATGTTCCTCCTCCTCCTCCCCCTTTCCTATCTGTGGTCCAGTTTTTATGCCCGCCCCTTCGTCATCTCCAGTGCAGCTCCTCTGCTGTTTTGCCCTCCTTCCAACCCTCTTCCATCCAGTCTAGTCCGTCTTCCGACAGGGGGCTCACGCCCATCTCTGGCTCTCCTCCACCCACTTTACCTTTTCTGTCCCTCCCCCACCTTCCCCTTTCCTGTCATGGGTTTCTGGCCCTTGAGTATAGAAGAGAAGGATACTGCTTTGACCCAGAAGCCAGGGATGTGCTGGATGATGAGGTCTCTGCGCTCCAGGAAGGGTCTTCGCATCTGGATGAACTTGCGCTTGAGACGCAGGAAGGCCTTGCCTGCCTTGATGTTCACCGCCTCCAGGTCCAGCTGAATATCCTCCAGTGCCTGCAGGATGCTCTCCATCCTCTCGGCATCTCTCTCTATGCCTTCCCTCTTCACCTTCCTCTGCTTCCTCCTCCTCCTCCGCCGCCGCCGCCTCCTGCTGCTCCTCTTACCCTCCTGCTCATCCTCATCGTCATCTTCCACTATGATGATCGCCTCTTCCTTGCTCTTTGGGTCAATTAATCTCTGGGGCCCCCACCCCACTGCGCTACAGGTTTCTAGGGCCCCCTCTCCACCAAAACTGCTGGACTCCACAACCTGAAAATCGATTTCCAGGCTCCCCCCCGGGACCTCAGGAGTGGGGAGTACTTCCAGGCTCTCCGTGGGCGGGGGCGCCTCCCCGTACCCCGACTCGATGGTAGGATCCCAGCCGGGACACCCAGCACCGAGTGTGAAGTATGCGCGGATCCCCCCCTCCTCGAGAATGACATAGGGAGGCGGCGGGGGCAGCGCGGGGCCCAGTCCCAACCCCCTCATATCGGCCAGCACCTGTGCTGCCTCTGTTTCCTCCTGGAGCCTCGGGCGCTGCTCGGGTGGAGGCAGGGGAAGTCGGAGGAGCGGCGGCGGCGGCGGCGGCGGCGGCGGCGGCGGCTGGTCGCGCTCTGGAGACTCGGAGCTGCTCAGGCGGCGGGTCTTGGCCGGAGGCCCCTCATCTGGGCGGTCCATGGCGACCGCGCTCGTACAGCTCAGGGGACTAGCACTCGCCCTCGCCCCTTCGCTCTCAGCCGCGTCGCTGCAGCTAGTCGCACAGGGAAGCAGAGCTGCGAAGACTCCCGCAACCAGCCGCCCTCACGGTCTCGCTCTGGCTCCCTCCCACAGCGCGCGCTCTACTACCTCCGCGCCAATCGCTGAAGCCCCGCCCCCTCCTGACGCAAGGGTCCGCTCGGCCTTGTCATTGGCTGCCGGCCGCCGCGGCGGCGCTCGCGCTCCCGCGACCCCTGCCCGCTCTAACGCAATCTGCTTGCCAACACCACACATCATCAGTTTCCGATTGGCTGCCCTCGGACCCGCCAATCAACGGGCTAACTCCCTCAGCGACGGGAGCGAAACTGCAGGGCGATTGGCTGCGACGAAGCTGGGGAAGAAGCCCCTCTCCCTCACCCTTTCAGCGTTTTATCCAATGGGAAAAGTACCAGTGGTTCTGAAGACGAAAAAACCAGACGAAAAACAAACGCAGGCGCTGAGCAGGATGTGCTCACGAGAAATTGGGAGAGCCTCGTTATCATTTCCCCCGCCCCCCTCCCCTCAGCAACTACGCACTTTTAAAAATCTGTCCCTTCCCCCATTTCCTTCAGCTCCTTCCCCAACTCCCCGCTTCTGCCCCTTCCCCCACCCTCGCTTCTCCCCTTCCCCATCCCTCCCTTCTGCCCCTTCTTCCATCCCTGCTTCTGCCCGTTCCCCCATCCCCCGCTTCTGCCCCTTCCCCTATTCCGCATTTCTGACCCCATCCCCCCACTTCTGCCCCTTTCCTCACCCCCACCCCCCCGCTTCTGCCCCTTTCCCCATCCCCCCACTTCTGCCCTTTCCCTCACCCCCGGACCCCTGCTTCTGCCCCTTCCCATCCCCTGACTTCTGCCCCTTCCCTCACCTCCCCCCCCCCCCGCACCGCTTCTGCCTCTTCCCCCACCCCCCGCGTCTGCCCTTTGGGTGAACTCTGCTGTCGCTCCTCGGGGCTCGGGGCTCGGGCTGCCCTACCGCCCGCACGTGCAATTTAGGCACCTAGGGTGTTTGGTTTGGGGGCCGGGATTTCACGTGGCGTTTTCCGTCTCTGCAAAATGGCTCTAGAAATAATCACACACACAAAAAAGTAACTTATTCTGCGTCATAAAAGTGATTGTGATTCAGCTCATCTGCTAGAATTTTCTAGCACTTTCTATCTCTTCATTTCTGCCCCTTTCCATCCTTTCTTCTCCCTTTCCCCAGTGTATACTGTATTTTAAGATTTTTCCTTTTAAACCAGAGATAGATGGTCTTTTGTGAGGCATGGTGGTGGAGGGCTAGCTTTGGTGCTGGGATTCACATCATGAGTGTGCCCCTCATTTTTTAACCTTAACCAAATCACTGCCTCTCTCTGAGTTTCAGTTTTCTCTCCCCTAAATTAGGCATCCCTAAAGAAAGGTGTAGGTAACTTCCCATTGCAGCCTTGTAGCAGAGCAGAGAAAGAGAGTAGACCTAGGGATCCATCATCAGGGGAATGGATAAGAAAAATGCGATATATGTTTAAGATGGACCACTGGAATGAATTAGATCTATATACGGCAACATGGCTGGATCTCTCAAAGACAGATGTTGAGTGAAAAAAGAAACAGAACAAGATTTATAGTACAATACTGTGTATGTAAATTAAAACACACAGCAATACCATATATTTTTCACAGATACACATATGTAAATAAACACATGAACGGTGGATTGGAAGGACATATGTTAAATACACGAGAGTGGGTGCTTATGTAGGGGGCAGGGAGGATGGGATCAGGAATGGATGATGAAGGGGACAAAACTGAAATAAAAAAAGAATAAAAGGGCCTCACATGGACTAATGATGACACAGTGTGCCAAGAACTGAGGAGTATGGTCAATTCAATTCTGTGCACCTGAGAGATTAAATAGTAAATTAACTGAGTGTCTAGGGAGCAGGCTGGCTGGGTAGATTTCTGGACTTGGGTTTTTTGCCCGTGACATCCCTCCCTCTAAATTTGGTCAAAGCTGACCAAAGTCCTAGCTGCATACAGTGGCCCCTAGGAAGGGCTCCCACCCCAGACTGAGCAGTCCTTCCAGAAGCCATTACTTTGTTGGGGGCATTTCCTAACCCCATTAGTTTCCCTCACATTTGATCTCCAATTTCCAGTCCCCATTCTCCATGGTGGTACCTTGTTTGAGTTTGAAAAGGAGACTGAGCTGAGATGGGGCTACAGGCTTGTGAGGAGATAAGGTTCTCAAGTACCCCGACCCTAGCCCTCCCATGCTCAGAGCCTGGGCCAACGGAGGCCCATTTTGTGAGATGGGAATCTACCCTCTTACTACCTACCTATGTACGGTTTTTAAGATCCATCTCTTGACCACTCTACTTCCTACCATGGGCACATACTCTAGTTTGTCTCCTCAACTGTGTGTGATGTGTTTGTGTGTGTGTGTGTGCATGCACATGCTGTATATGTCCCCACATACAGGCATTTGCTTACATGTGTGTACCAGGCAAATTTTCCTCAGGAGTGCCTCCCCACACAAAGTCACACAGACACACACTATCACTCAATCATGTCTCTCCACATGTGATCACACAGGATGCATGCACACAGACACCACACGCGCGCGCGCACACACACACACACACACACACACACACACAGAGTCAGAAAGAGAAAACATCCAATATAGCATTGTTCATTTCAGTTTTTCCATTTACAAAATCCAATGGTGAATCCAGGCAGTTAGAAAAAAGAAATGGAGGAAAACCCTCCTGAATGTACCCTATTTACCCCCCACCCCCTTGGTCTTCCCACCCCACTCCCTTGGAAAGGCACCCCCATCACTATCGCTGAGAGAACAGCTCCCCCACTCCTGGCCTCTCAGCCACTCTGGCCTGCCTTTCCAGGGTCACTCTGCTGCCAGGCTCATTAATGTCTCTCCTGCCTAGAGTGCCCTCCCCATTCTGTATGGACCAGGCTTCCCCAGTTCTGGGACTCTCTTGGGGTAGGGAGGCAGTTTAGGACAGGGACTTTTATAAAGAAGGGAAAGAAGGGTGGATAAATACAGATTCCGGCCCCACAGAAAGTGAGAGGGGGACAGAGAGCCTGGGTTAAGACCAGGCCAAAGAGTGCCAGCTTGGCTCACCAATCCACAGAACAGGCCTCAAAGTAAGCCTAGAGTGGACTCTACCCCAGGGAGGGAGGCTTGGATATCCCGCCTGGAGAATCTGGCTGCAGTCTGCCCCACTTTGGGTGTAGGTAAGGGTGGGGGAAGGAAGGGGAAGGAGGGTTGTTGGGAAGAAGTACGTTTGGGGCTCAGGGCCCAGTAGGCCAAAGGTTACTAAGGAGGGGCTTGAGGCCCCTGAGGCTTGAGGGGGACAAAAATAGGTCAGATAGGAATGGACTCAAGTCCACAGTGCCTTGGAGTTCATATCTCTATTGGTTACCAAGGCCCCAAACAAATTTTCATCTTCAGAAGAGTAGGGTACAATTCTGGGGTTGAATTCGGCTCTGACCCGTCTCTGTGGTCCAGCTACTCTGGGGAGTTCAGCTCCCTCCCTACACTTCCCTGGGGGGCTGCTCCTGCCTGTGTGGCACCCACATCAGTCCTAGTGGGGCTGGAGTGGATTTCCATCCTCAAGAAGAAGAGTTGGGGTCTGGGGATCCTGAAGGCAGCGTGAGAGAATGTGACCAGCATGAGAGAATGTGACCAAGTGTGACCATTCTTTTCAGCTCAAAGAGTTCAGCTCAAATCCTACTCTTCACCTAACCTGGGCCCGTCCTTGGGTCCCTTCTCCCTACTCCCCTGGCTTCTCCAACAGATGCACAAGAACCATTTGGGAGGTCTGGACACGGTGGGGATGGGGAGAAGACTGGGCTGGGGGCCAGGGTTGGCTGCAAACAACATTGCACACAACATAGCAATTAAACATCCCTGCTCCCTGGGAACCCAGCACCCTCTTTGGTCCGTCTTGTCAGCAGCCTTAGACCACTTTCTCTCTAAACATCTAGGCCTTGCTAAAGGACTTGCAAGGGAGGGTGCATGGGAGCAGAGGGGGCAATAAGAGCTCTGGAAGTCTATTTTACAGGACAAATTTCCCCTTCTGGACAGTGTCAGAAGGAGAGACATTAAAGTAAGAAAGCCTGTCTCCTCAACTGTTAGTAGAAAAACCTGCATTCTCAGTTTTCATTTCTTTTTCTGAATTGTCACTTCTGAGAGAGAGAGAGAGAATGAGATTGTAGAAGTGGAGAAGGAGTCAGTGGAGACAGGCCCCACAAAACTAAATATGCCTCTTTCCCAGTCCCTCGCCCAGTCCTCCATCCGTGGGAGGTGTTGGCAAAGGTGCCTAGATTATACAGGTGGTTTGAGGGGCTGGGGCTGGAGCTCAGAAAGGAGGGCTCCCGTGTGGGCCCCTACCCCTCCTTGCTGTTGGCCCCATCATGGTGGCCGTGACGTTCTCTCTGCCTGTCTGCCTACCAGCCTGCTTCACATGACACAGTAGGGTTCTCTGGGAGCTGGGGCACCTCCTGTGCCCCAGCAAGGGGCATGAGTCCTCAGGCACTTCTTGAGGTCCTTGTTGAGCAGGAAGCAGACAATCGGGTTGACGGCAGCTTGGGCGAAGCTCATCCAAACAGCAGTGGCCAGGTAGCGGTGGGGCACGGCACAGGCTTTCACAAACACTCGCCAGTAGCAGGCCACGATGTAGGGTGACCAGAGGAGCAGAAAGAGCAGTGTGATTGCGTAGAACATGCGGCCCAGCTGCTTTTCACCCTTGACCTCGTCCATGCCCAGCAGCCGCCGGCTGGCTGCATGCCCATTCTGCCGGATACCCAGCAGGGTTGGTGGCATGGGCCCACGGCCAAAGCCAGCGATCCAATTGGCAGCAGCCTGGCCAGTGGCCCCGGGACCATGGAATGTCCAGTTCTGGCTGATGGCTGGCACCATCTGCACTGGCTTCATCTTGCGGTGACGATACTCGAAGAGGAGCAGCTTGCCATAGACAGCATGTGTAGCTGCCATGAGCACAGCCAACATAAGCATGAAGCCCAGTGTGTCATTGGCCTTGAAGTAGCGATGCTCAAAGATGCACTGGTCCTCCTCCCGAATAAACTTGTAGGTGCCCACATCGAAGACAGGTGGGAAGGCCATGGCCACAGACAGGGTCCAGGCCATGCAGATGACAGCTGCGCATGTCCAGAGTGTCATGCGCTTGGCGTAGAAGCGGTGGTGGGCGATGGCCATGTAGCGGGTGACGCTGATGCAGAACAGCATGAAGGCCGCATGGAAGCAAAAGAGCACAGCCATAAAGGCCACAATCTTGCAGCTGAGTGCACTGAAAGTCCACGAAGAGCCGTGGCGCACAGAAGCCAGCACAAAGGGGAAGCAGACGGCAGAGCGTATGCCATCGGCCAGGCACAGGTCCAGCAGGAAGTAGTAAGGAGCCTTGTGCAGGGCACGCTCCTTGAGCACCAGCAGGGACAAGATGGCGTTGCCCGCCAGGCTGACACACATAATCAGTCCTAGCAGTACCAGCTTCACGTAAGCCGATGCGGATGGCGGGGACAGAGCGCCGCTCACCTCCTCAGGCTCTCCAGTGGTGTTGGCCATGCTGAGGGCCAGGGCCTACTGCCAACCCTATGGGATCAGCCAGTCCAGTACTCGATGGGCCCGGGGGGGCTCCATGAGTTGTCCTGCTACACTGCACCTGCAAATGGGGATGGGGGAGACACAGACACAGAGAAATAGAGAGATGAGGGCAGGAGAGAGACAGAGAGGGAGAAAAACATACAGGTGTGCAGAGACAAAGTGACAGAGAGAGAGAGAGAGAGAGAGAGAGAGAGAGAGAGAGAGAGAGAGAGAGAACAAAGATAGAGAAAAGAGGCAACCAAAATAAATGGATAGAGATTGACACAGAAGTGGAGGGGATGAGAAAGAGTGAGGAGAAAGAGAGGAGAGACAGACAGACAGACAGACAGACAGGAGAGAGACCGTGAGAAACAGATGTAAAGAAGAGGAAGAAACAGAAAGGGCAGGGTTAGTGTATCAATGAGCCCTCCCCACTTATGCCCTGGCTGGTGCCAGGCCCTGCCCCTGGACCACTCCTGCTCCTACCCACTCCTTGTTGGTGGATGAGGATGCTGCATTTCTCTGGATGTCCTTGGTTACCTGTTTCCTCCAATGGTGGGTCTGTGGGGCGGGGATGTTGGTGCGGCTCTTCTCCCCCTTTCCAAAGCGCTACAGTTGTGTTCAGACTTTTTTCTACTGCCACCCATAGTAAAAAAATACATTTTACATCCCAACCCGCTCCACATACATGCATGCACACACACAGCTCAACCAAAAGTTTCACAAAACAATACTGATCCTATATGCAATGTACCCCATTTGTTTTTATTCTATTTCATGTGTTCTTAAAATGCTGGTACCACTCATTTAATTGATTTCTTTATTTCTGATCAGGAATGTGTTTAGTATGCTCGAGGAACGGTAGGAAGACGAGTGCGGCAGGAACAGTGAGAGCAAGGGAGACAGGGGTGGGAGGTGAGGTCGCACAGGTATCTTGGGGCCAGATTGTGTAGGGCTGTGGGCCACGATGAGGACTTTTTGATTTTTATTTTAGGTGAGGAGGCAAATATATGTGAATATAAAATGCATATTCATTCATACACTGAAAAAATATTGATTAAGCATCTGCTGTGTGCCAGGCACTTTTCTAGGTATTGGGGATACAGCTGTAAACTAGACAGATAAAGATCCCGGCCCTTGTGGAACCGACATTCTGGATAATAAAGAAGAGACACGGGTGAAGTACAGTATGTCAGATGATGACAAGTTCCTAAGAATAAACATAAAAGAGGGAAGGAAGATAGGAAGTGCTAGGGGTGGCGAAGGTGCTGCAGTTTTAGATGAGGTGGACAGGGGAGGCTTCACGAAGGAGGTGTCATCTGAGCAAAGACCTAAGAGAGGTGAGAGAGTGAGTCACGCGGATATCTGGGGGAAGAGAAGTCCAGGTAGGGGGAACAGCCAGAACAAAGGCCCCGAGGTGGGACTCTACATGGCATGTTTGAGGAAAAGCAATCAGGCCACTGTGGGTGGAACACAGTGAGTCAGGGGAACGTGGTGGGAGGCGAGGTCAGAAAGGTAGTGAGGCCAGATCAAGGAGACTATGGTGAGGGGTTTTTCCTCTGAATGAGATGGGAGTCATGGGAAGATTCTGAGCAGAGGCCAGATGTGGTATGATGTAGGATGTAACAGAATCCCACTTGCTGTTGTGAAGAGCAGAGGTCGTGTGGAGTGCAGGTAGAAGTAGGGAGACTACTCAGAGGCCCCTCTAGGGGACATTTTGGAAATTTGTATAGGAGCATTTTTGATGGCCACAATGCTGGGGTATAGGGCATTCTTCTGACATTTAGGAGTCAGGGGGAGGATGTTGGCCATTCAGTGATATGGGGGACAGTCCCACGTAGCCAACATGTCCTACATCCTCTAGGACTTTGGACTTTTAGGTAAGTGAACCCAGAATCATTATCTGTCACCTGCAGCAATCCAGGTGACAGGATTTACAGGACAGGAGTTACAGACTCACTGACTCTCCTCTGAAGGAACACTACATAGCACATCATGGTAGGCTCTCAGTGACAATCTGTCAAATGAATTGATTGAGGGATTAAATGGGCTGGGGCTGTGGGTCAGAGAGGGCGCCCTGGAGACATCCAGGCAGGATTCCCTGCAAGAGCGGTCTGGGGAGTATATCTGGCGGTGAGAGCAGCAAAGCAAAGCTGGGGGGAAAGAGGAGAGCCCCGGGAGTGTGGGGATGTGACGAGTTAACAGTGTAGGTCCCAGAGGGAAGGCAGTGAAGCAGCCGGGCAGAAACTGGGGAAACTCAGGATGATTGTTGGAGCTGGGGCTGGGCTGGGATTGGATTGTGGGGTGGAACTTGAGTGGATATCTTCCTACTCCTTCCCTCACAGGAAAAATCTCCCCTCTGCACGGCTTTCCAGCTCAATCCAGCCTGGCCTGCCACAGCCACCTAGGGCTCGGCTCCTTTTTTTTGTTTGTTTTTTAAAATAGAGTCTTGCTCTGTCGCCCAGGCTGAAATGCAGTGGCACAATCTCGGCTCACTGCAACCTCGGTCTTCTGGATTCAAGTGATTCTCGTGCCTCAGCCTCCCAACTAGCTGGGATTACAGGCACATGTGCCACCATGCCCGGCTTATTTTTAGTAGAGACGAGGTTTCATCATGTTGGCCAGGCTGGTCTCCAACTCGTAACCTAAATGATTTGCCTGCCTCGGCCTCCCAAATTGTTGGGATTACAGGTGTGAGCCACTGCACCCGAGCCAGACTTTTTGATGGCACCCTGAAATCTCAGAACTATGGGACAGCCTGCAGGTGAGTGTCAACATTCACTCTCTCTCTCTCTCTCTCCTTTACCTTGAGGGGAGGCAGGGGGAAAGGGATAGAGACAGAGAAACTGAATGTAAGAGAGAGGCAAGAGAGAGACAGAAGGAGAGAGAGGTGTGTGTAACAGAGATGGAGACATAGGAGGGAGAAAGAGACAGAGAGACAAACCGAGAAAGGGGAGAAAGCCTTACACACAGAGAGGAAGAGGGACAGAAAGTGAAGGAAGGGTGAAAATGAGAGTGAGAAAAAAGAGGCAGAGACACACACAGAAACAAGCACACCAGAAATAGAGACAGAGAGCGCGCAAGAGAGAGAAAAGAACAGGGAGAGAGAGATAAAGAGGGCTAACGCCAGGAAAGAAAGAAAAATAGAGACGGGGCGAGGTGGGGCAGAGATAAGAGAGGGGAGCTAGAGAGACAGAGACAGAAATAATGAAGGAGACAGAGAGGGAGACACGGAGAGCCACACTAAGACTGAGAAGGTGGATAATATGTAGCCCTGAGTCTCAGTGAAAACAGCTAAAGATAAAACAAAAATCCCCACATCCCCCCCCAAACAATAGCAGCAAACAAAACCCTGGTGGCTCCGAGAAAGCTGGAGAGATTTTACAAACAAGTGAGGAGAGGGTTCTCCTTGGCGGACTGGCAGCCTCAGCTAGGGCCCAGCTGAGGCTCAGGACGCGTGCGAACACAGAACACACACACACCTGCTCGAGCCCGGACACCTGCACACTCCCTACCCCCGTAAACGGTCTACTGCTGTGGTCACCTGTGGACAGCAACCCGCTCTTGCATGAGGAACGCGTGCGCTCGCGTGTAACAAACACACATACGCACACACGCTTGCGCGTGCACACACTCACACACATAGGCACACACGCACACGGAGGCGGAGGTACAGCTAGCACTCTGCCGCGTTCACACAGGTACATAGTGTACCTTCTCCAAGCGCCAGTGCTTCGTCCTCAGCAAAGACGTTACTGCCCTCTAGGGGACATTTTGGAAATTTGTGTAGGAGCATTTTTGACGGCCACAATGCTGGGGGTGTAGGGTGTCCTTCCGATATTTAGGAGCCAGGGGGAGGATGTTGGCCGTCCAGTGACATGGGGAACAGTCCCACGCAGCCAACATGTCCTGCATCCTTTAGGACTCTGGACTTTTAGGTAAGTGAACCTAGAATCTAACTATTTCACAGATAAAAACCATTTTTTTCCCTCTTGATTTTAACATACCCCGAATTATCCAGGAACATGGCTGTCAGGTAAGTAAAGAGGAGGCTGTACTTTGGTTTGGGATGAGCTTTCCTTAGAGTTGTTGACTATTTCAGAAAATACCCCTAAGGCCTGTGCCTGTCATTTTCCCGCACGTCCAGCATTTGATGGGTCCCCTTCTCCTAAATCCATATTAACCAGTGTAAGACATTGGGAGAGTCTAATTACTTCCTCGAATCTCCTGGGGAGTATCATGCCCAAGCATTTACATATTGAAATACAAATTGTTTTCTTATAAATCATTTTCCTTTTATTTCTTATTTGTACTATAGTTAATACAATATGGATATTGTATAAAATACTATATGGGTTTTCTTTTTAAATTACATGTGCAGAGGTCTGGGCATGGTGGCTCACGCCAGTAATCCCAGCACTTTGGGAGGCCGAGGCAGGTGGACCACCCGAGGTCAGGCGTTCAAGACCAGCCTGGCCAACATGGTGAAATCCTGTCTCTACTAAAAATACAAAATTAGCTGGGTGTGGTGGCACGCATCTGTAATCTCAGCTACTTGGGAGGCTGAGGCAGGAGAATCACTTGAACCTGGGATGCGGAGGTTGCAGTGAGCCAAGATCACGCCATTGCACTCCAGCCTGGGCAAAAAGAGTGAAACTCCATCTCAAAAAAAAAAAAAACCATATGCAGAGAGATTATATTATCTAAGAACTTCATTTCCAGACACTAAAAGGGTGTTACAAAGTATCTGTTACATGAAAGAGGGCACTGGGTATGAGAGGGCTGAGAATTGTTCACATACACAGACACACTCACACACTCATTCACACACACATACACACACGCAATGGCCCACAAAACGACCTTTATAACTCCCCTAACACACATATAGATGAACGAGATCTCAAACACTGACAGATAGGTACACACGAGCAAACTTACATATACTTTCACTCACACAGACATATATATACTCATTGACTCAATATAGCTGATTATTCAAATCCTCTCACATATTCAGACACAACACAGATATGCACAAAGCTGTATATTGATATTTTTACATATATAAACACTGTC